AAAAATATGAAAAAAATATTTTTTAATTATTATTATTTTTGAAATATTAAAAAAGTTTTTTTCTTCTATTTTTCAGTCCATATGGGGACACCCTGTATAGGCACTAAGTCTCACCTGGATGAAAGTACTCACTAGTACCAATTAGTAAGTACTTTAAATTCTCAAGTACAATTTTTGAGGTACTATTTTGAGGTACAATTTTGAGGTACATTTTACTCGATTACTGCCCAGTTCTGCCGTCACTGTATGCTGCTTACTTTAAAAATATGTTAATCTTGACCAATTGATTCATACCTCTACATGATGACGCAAAAATACATTTTTAAGGCTCTGGATAGCTCTACCAAAGTCGTAAAGATAATGTCCGCGCTTTATCTACGATAATCGGGTATTTAACGTTTCTGGATAGCGCTACGAATGTCGGAGGTATACTATCCGCGCTATGTCTCCGAAAGTCAGATATGACCGAGGCATTAGTTTATTTACAAAATAAAAGTGGGGTTAGGTTATGTTTCTTTGTTAAAGTAATTGTTTGGGAAATTCTTATAGCGTTTTCGATTCCAATGCTCGGCTTGCTCTGAGAGTATACGAAAGGTGGGAGATATGTTGATATCAGTTACTTTTCATTCTAAAAAGTAACCGGTATCAATATATCGCTCATCTTTAATATGCACTCCCCGCAGACAGGGCAGTGGAATCGAAAACGCTATTAGAAATGCCGCTCTTAGAAAAAGACAGGACCTTTGCAAACATAAAAAGAACTTGCTGACTTTATAAATTATGTTAAGAATTAACAGTTTATACAGTTAGAAGCTTCAAAACAATAAAATCGATGGGATGCATATAAGTTGGTGAAAGAGGAAACAAAAACATGAAATAGAAATTAATAGAAGTATTCAAAAATGTCATTCGTTGAGCAGCTTGTTTAAATCGGTTTCATAAAGTTTGTACATAATTATTATGTTATGTTAAATTTTATAATTTTGATTAATAATATTGATCTCTACTTTATCTTTAAAATAAAACTAAGAAGACTGAACCACCAGTTACGTTAAAGATAAAGACACTGATTTTTTTTAAAGATTTTTTAATTTAAAATTTTAATTGTTGTTTCTTTTAAAAATTAGTCATAATAAAGTTGATTTCGTATATATATCGTTTTTTTTACACTTCATTAACGGTCTATGTTGTAACGAAAAAGGAAAGTTAAGTTATTCTGGTTAGATCAATCCGGTAGGATCCGGCCAGATTGAAAATGAGGCCGAATTGTAATCCCTATATGTAATCTCAAAAAGTCGATAACTTGTAATTTTTTACGATTTGGGAAATATCGTTGAGCTATACAGATAAATAAACAAATAAATTAAAAAAATATGTATTTGTTGGCTTTAGTGTTAGTGCTAGTTTTAATTCATGCTGCACCGAACCTTCTTCTATTTGTATGAAAGCTATTAGTTATATAATAGGACCCAAAAATATAAGTTTTGCTTCCAGAATTTTTAACAGTAGAATAATATTAGGTATTAGATACAAACCCAATAAATTGATGGAGGGGTCACTGAGGTTAGGGGGAAAATAGTAGTAAGCTTAAGTTGGCAACACCATGAAAAAATTTAAAAAAAAACTAAATTGACAGGCTTGGTGACTACTCTTTCGAATAAAAATATCGTCCGAGGTGGAAGGATATGTCGCAACCCCTTTAAATACCAACCCCAATGGTGGCCTCATCCCCGTTGCTAAGGAAGCAGTGACGTCACCAAATAAAAAAGCGAGTTGACGTAAAATATTCTACTTGGGTTCATATATTAGTTTTTTAAAAAATCTAATATTTGATTGGTATCACATATCATCATCATCAACATGCAAAAGACCACAGCTTAGATTTAGTTAAGTAGCGCACTTTTGTAAAGTTGAAATCCTCAGCACTTAAAAGTATTTCTGAGGTAAATATAGAACCTTTACTCAAATATCTTATCGTGAATGCTTTAGATATTTCTTCTGATTTCCAACAGACCATTGTTTTCTTCTTTAAAATGATTTGTAACTCATTTTTACTAAAAACTTCTTGTTGCAAACCCTTTTTTGTTTCATTTATTTACGTTATTTTAGTAAAAACCCTTTGACTTGAAACAATCTCATCTGCTTTTAAATGTAGGATGGACAAAGCTGTAATTAATTCAATTGTTAACGATAATTAATATTCTTAATATACACAAAATGTGATACGAGTTCGGCTTGGGGGCCATGCTCTAACCCAAAATGTTTAAAATAAACCATTCACCACAAAAATATTTTATTATTCAAATACAAAGTAATTCATTTGAAATTTTATGAAAATCATTAAATCATTTTTCCTTGCTGTTTTTTAAATCAAACTAGAGATATTATAAACTGGAAAATAGTCCAATAATAAAAATATAAACACTACTAAATAATAATAAAAGATGAGTTTTTAAAGCAATGTACGAACCGCATCAGAATATTTTCTTTTGCCTCGATTTTTCATTCTGTGACTAAAAACAATTTTGTAAATAAATAAATCTTACATTGATTGTTACAAGCTTCAAGGGTTTCAAAGGCATCTATTCTACATTTAAAGCTTTGTTCCAACACACACACAAACCGTAATATTACGGTCATCGTCATGCGCAGTAAATAAAAACCGTTCGACTTTGGGCTTTATTGATAGGTTTTTATTTACTGCGCATGACGATGACCGTAATATTACGGTTTGTGTGTGTGTTGGAACAAAGCTTAAAATAACTTGTTTCTGAACTTCACTTCATCGAATGTCCAGCGGAATATTGGTTCAAATATTTATTCGCATTTTATTCGCATTAATATTATGTATACTGTAATGGGAGGATGCATAAATAAAACAAAAACGTCCGTATCAAAACTAATTTTTAGATATTGGTATCGATATCGTCAATTTTTACATTTCAAACGAAATGCGCTAGTTCAGTGATGATGTAATTATGGTTCCACTGACAATTAAAGTAGATTTTTTGAGTGCGTTTTGTTCGTTTTGTTTACCTAAATTATATAGTTTTTTCACTTTTATAAATATATTCCTAATAGTATTCCTAAGTAGATAGCATGTATCAAATATACAATCGTTAAGTTACCAATTACATACCTTTAAACTATTTTTTATGACCTGTAAACAATATTTTGAAATAAAATAAAAACAGTAAAAACGTATATGTCAAATTTATTGATGTTTTTGTTGAAAGTTTGGTTAGAATTAAATGTCAGTGGAACCAAAATGACATCACACTGAACTATGAAGACTAGATATAAGGAGGCGAATCGGCCTTGGTCAAATTTCAAATTTCCGTCCCTATTTTTATGAAGTTCCAAAAAACTACTGTAGTTGGCGGGTGGCAAAATAACGACGTCTATTTTCTAAGCAAGTCAATGGGAATTAAAGTGATTTTTGTAAAATTGAAAAGAATAAAAATAAGCTGAAATAAAAAACCTGACTACAAGTAACAATGAGTAACAAAAAACGGCAAAGCAGGATTTGCTTCGTTGTGGGTTGAAAAACGGGATATAAATCCGATATAAAATTAAAGAAAACACAAGGAGTTAAAAATCCAAGTCTTTTTAAAGCTCCTAGTGTAAGTAAAATAATGTATTTATTTCTAAGTAATATATATTTATTGTAAAATAGTCACAACCCGTATCTTACGGAGTGTAGTTTATTTAATTACAAAATTCTATAATAAAAAATAATAGTCATAAATCCTGACTTACAAACAACAATAATTACACATTAAATTTAACTTACTAGAAAAGAAAATTTGCTTTTTTTATGTTTTTTGATGTTAGATGAAGAGTTACTACTGTTATTTTTCTTTATTGAACTCCAATTTAGTCATTGCAAATATTTTTTATAGGATCCTAAACGTTTAGAACAATGGCAGCATGTGATTCCTAGGGCTGATAAAGTACTGTCTAGTTATGATTCTGTTTGCGAGCTACACTTTTTAGAAGATGATATTTTAAAATTTGATGACTATTTTAACTAATGGTACTGTTAACAAAATAAAAAGGGAAAGGCCGCGATTAAAGAACGAAGCAATACCATGTATATTCCCGAATCTCCCTTCATACTTGTCCAGTATTAGGAAAAAACCAAACCACCATTGAACCTAACTGAATTTGTTAGAATAAAAAAAAGGATAAAAATACTAGAACCTATTGCTGAAGAAACTATTCACCAGGATGATGAAATTGCAGTTGTCGAATACAAAATTACCACAAAACTGTTCTTACACCATTTAACAAACCTTTTCAAATTTGGTCATACCTAATTTTCATTATATTTAGATAAAATTAAATAATGAATAGTAAATAATGTTTAACATCGAGACTCATTTATAATTAATACCAACAGTATTTTCTGTACTTTAGTTAGCAATTAAAACAAAGACTTATTTACAATAATTAAAATTAACAGTATTTTCTGTGCTTTAGTTAGCAATAAACAATTTGACTTTTATTATTTTTATTAAATTTTGTAAAATCCCTGACTAAATATTTTCATTTAAACCGTGTCTTAGTATACCCTCAGCCTAATTTAACTTTAATTAAAAAATAATTAGCCCTACCCATCAAATTTCAACACTTATCAATAATTTGTATTTTACTTAAATAGGAATAAATAGTAAATAATGTATCAATTAAAATATGTAAGACTTATTTAGAAATAAATACAACAGTATGTTCTGTGATTTATTTAGCTATAAACAAGTTTATTTTTATTATTTTAACAAAATTATGTATAATTCTCATAAGAAGCAATGTATTTTGAACAACGTAAACCGTACCAGCGCCCATGAGGTTAATTATAAAAGCTCAATTGACGTGTGACTTTTGGGACCGTATTTTGAGCATGCCGATTCGCCTCCTTATCTCTAGTCTTCATACACTGAAGTAACGCATTACTCTATAACTGACAAAATCAGCTGATAAATAAATATTAAACAAATAAATCAGATAAAATTTCTTCTAATTTTATTTCTCCAAATAATTTTTACATAATCATCTATTGATTCTTTTTATCCCCCTCCAAGCATTTCTTTAATTTCCGCTTCAGTTTTTCCTTTGGTCTCTGGAATTCCGGCTAAAATGAAAAATACGGCACTTACCAAAATTGCCGTGAAAAAGTAGAAAGTTATATCGTTTCCCAGATTTTCTGCACAAGTTGGGTATAATTTCGTCACACCAAAAGCCAGTAGCCAATTGAAAGTAGCAGCAGTAGCACTTAATTTCCCTTTAATATCCTCTGTGAACATTTCACCGGAGGCCAACCATGGTATGGGCCCAAAACCTAACGAGAAGGCTATAATAAAAATGTTTAGTGAAAGGACCGGTAGCCAGCCAATGGTCTCAAGGGAATCTCTGTCAAGAACCTTATGGTTTTTTAAAGAGAAAAACAGTCCAAGGAAAAAGGTACCCACTCCCATAAAAAATGCCGAAATTATAAGTAGAATCTTTCTCCCGAATCTGTCGACAACTAAAGCAGATACAACTGTAGCAAACACTTGTACAATCCCGATTGATATAGTGCATAGTTTATCTTCCAGTGTTGAACCGGCATCAATAAATATGATAGATGCGTAGAACATAACGGCATTGATACCGCTTAATTGCTGATAAAACATCAGCATTAAGCAAATAAGGGTGGCTCTTTTGGCTGACTTTGCTTTCATTGCCTCAAAGAAATTTTTTCGATTACGTTCTTCCTCGATGGCCTTCTTAATAGCATTTACTTCACCAGAATGATCATACTCTGTCCCTCTTAATCTGTTAAATGATTTTTCAGCTCCTGCATCATTTCCTTTTTTTATATCCGTTACAGGTGATTCGGGTTGAAAAACGAAGAGGACGCCGAATATAATCGGGATTATCAAACAAGCTATATTATACCAAAACATAGAAAATATGTACCCAAGAACTTGCACGTATAAAATGCCCACGGTAATAAATAGTTGGAAAAATGTTCCTATCATTCCTCGAATTTCAACTTCGGCTATTTCGCTATTGTAAACGGGTGCCACTACGCAAAAACTTCCTCCACCAACACCACTTAAAAACCTTCCAGCATAGACCATTTCCACATTGCTGGCAAATGTAATTAAACACCAACCGAGCAAATATGGTATAACCGTTAATAAAGCTGTTTTTTTTCTTCCAATGGTATCTTGTAGAAACCCTACTGGGAAACATGCAATCACAGCTCCTAGAGGCATTAATGATCCAACCCAACCTAATTGGGTATTATCCATTATAATGTCGTTTAGCTTGCCCGCCTTTAACTCGTCTGTGATGTTTGCTGTCCATGCTATTACGGTACCCAAACTAAATGCTCCTATACATACAGAAATGGCAGCAAAAAACTGTGGTAACCTTTTAGCTTCTCCCATTAAGGCTGAATTTCTTCAATCTCCATTCCAAATACTTTGTTAACTTTGACAAATATTCTTGACAGAAAAACTGTCGATAACTGTTTATAGTATCAATGTAAACTGCGATCTAGCGATAAAGTTGTATCTGTATGTATTGGCGTTCACAGAGTTTTTGTTTTTTGCATCCTCTTTTAATAACAAATAAAATATTTTTGATGGTTTACCTAGCCTCAATTTAGTAAATATTATAACGAATAAATAGAATTTTTCTAAAGTGCCGTTTGCTTTTTTTTTTTCGTATATTTTATTTATTAACATTTTTTTAATATACATTTATATACAATTACTTTACAATTAGTTAGCGTCTCATAAAATGGCTACCACTCTAGGCATGGTTGCCTGTCCTGTGTGAAGCAATTTTATGAGGCGCTCTGTTTACAGTATTTAAGGGTGTGTAGTGTTTTATATCTATTTTTCATGTATAAAGACATTTTGAATTTTGATTTTTTCAGAGAGGTAATGATGGCAGCTTCGGTGGGGGGGTGAAAATCAGTTATAAGTTTATGGTTAAATTATCTTAAATACATTTTAACAGCTGTTATTATCATGAGAACATCAGAAATATATAAGGATGATTGAGTATATACTTTTTTACTTCTATTTTGTATGTTTTATATATTTTTATTTCTTTTATATGTTTAGGTAGTACATTAAATAATTTCGGCCCAAAGAAAAGAAAGGAGTTCTGAGTAACAGTTTTTTTAAATAAATCTGTTGTTACATTTAGATTCAGTTTAGAACGTGTTTCTTTTATGTTTTGTTGAGGGCATTTAATTTGTTGGTCAAACATTCTTAGGAGACATTGGTAAATATAACTTGACCTAATATTTAAAAGATTAGTTTCTTGATATAAGTTTTGTGTGGAATAAAGCCTCTCTTTTTTAAAAATTATTTTTAGTATTATATTTTGTGATATTTGCAGTGGATTGAGTGTTGTTTTGAATGTTGCGCCCCAGGCAGTAATGCAATACCTAATAATTGATTCAACCAGAGAGTTGTACACTATAATTAATTTTTTTTTAGTTAATATATCACGAATTTTATAGAATTTGTGCATCAAAATTCGGATTCTTCTTGTTGCATATCCAATATGCTCAGACCATCTTAAATTTTGATCTATTATTATGACTCCAAGGTATTTTAGTGAATTTGTTTTTTGTATAGATTGACAGTTACAATCTTTTTCTTTATTACACTGTGATTTGTGGAATTTAATAATTAAGTTGTTTGGTTGATCTACTGCTGTTGGGGAAAACGTAATATATTTAGTTTTATTAACATTAAGTGATAGCTTATTATTATTTAGCCAGTTATGGATTTTTTTCAAGTTAGTTTCCGCTATTTTTTGGGCTTTTTCCCATGTTGTTTCAGTAAATATTAGTGCTGTATCATCGGCGTAACAAACTATATGACCTTTAAAATTGTTAATTTTGGTTATATTATTTATATATACAAGAAATAGTATTGGTCCTAATATGGTCCCCTGCGGTACTCCAGTTAGAACATTACAATCGGAACTTATTACATTGCCAATTTTAACTCTTTGTATTCTATCAGTCAAGTAGTTTTTCATTTAATCCGAAGCTATACCTCTAATGCCATAATTATTTAATTTTTGTAATAATAAATTGTGATCCACAGTATCGAATGCTTTGGCAAGGTCTAAAAAAACTGCTATACTTTTTAATGAACTGTCCATGGCCTTCACCGCTAAGTTAACAAAATCCATTATAGCATTTTCAGTATTGGAACCTTTTACAAATCCAAATTGTCTATCCATTATTAACTTATGTTTATTAAAGAAATCTATTAATCGTTTTTTTAGACATTGTTCAAACAATTTAGCAAAGTTATTTATAACTGATATTGGCCTGTAGTTTTCCGTTTGGTTAGATTTACCTGATTTAAAGATGGGTGTAATATTTGATACTTTCCATTGTTGCGGAATGTCTCCGGTTGAGAAACATTGATTGATGATGTAACATAGAGGATCTAGTATGTAATTATGAATGGATTTTATAGTTTTTGAATTTATCTTATCTGGACCTGGAGCACAGTTATTTTTTTAGTTTGAAATTATTATAATTAGTTCTTTAGGGGTTACTGGCTCGAGAAATATTGATTGTTCGACTACCGTATCATTTAAAAAATTATCAGGTAAGCAAATTTTGAAATTGCTTTTGACATATTTTTACCAACATTGGCAAAAAATTTGTTAAATTCCTTAGCTTTTTTTGTATTATCATTTAGTGTTGTGCCATTTTTTAATAATATATTAGTATTTTCTATTTTATTTGTATTTTTAGCTCCTCCACCTGTGATATTATTAATTATATTCCAGATTTTTTTTAAATTGGTTCCAGCTTCATTTATTTCAGCTTTGTAATAATCGTTTTTAGTCTTTTTTATTAATGAGTTAAGTCTATTTCTATAATTAATGTACTCTTGTTTAAGGGGTTCAGAATAATTTTTTAATAGTTTTTTTTTAGTTGGTCTCGTTTGTTTATAGAGTCTATGAGACCTGTTGTAATCCAAGGTTTTAGCTTATTGTACCTTTTTTTAATTATTTGATCGCTTGTGCATGATTTAATAAGATCTATAAGGGTTTTAATAAATATATTATAAGAAAGTTGTGCGTTATTTTCTAATGTAACATTTTCCCACCTTTCATTTTTTAATAGTTGATTTAATTTATTGTGATTAATTTTTTGAATAGTTTTTTTTTCTATTACTTGTTTGATTGATTTATTTTTTTTTAAAGTGAAATATGCATATGGTGTGAAATGGTCTGTCATATCTGTACAGAAAATAATGGCTTCAGTTTTTATTTGATTTTTTAAACAACCTTCCGTTCTTATAAAAATATGATCAATGGCTGATTTTGAGTCATTTGTGACTCTGGTTGGTTTGTTTATATATGATATGAATCCATTATATCCTAAGGTGTTTAAGTAATTATTTGTATCATTACAGTCACTATTTAACAAATTATTATTTATGTCACCCAGGTATATTTCTAAGTTTTGTTTCTTTAATTGATCTAGGTAAATTTCTAAATCATTTAAGTAAGAAGATATTTTAGTTGAGGGGGATCTATAGTAGGCCGTCAGTCCCACTTTAATATTATTTTTTAAATTGTTTGTCGTGAGAATTATTCTCAAAAATTTAAATTGATTAATTGGAGTGACCACAACCTCCGCTGAGATGTTGTTTTTTACGTAAACGACAACGCCATCACATTTATTTATAGATATAGGTATCGAAATTAGGACAATAAGGCAAGGACTTATGAATTTTCGCTTTAGTGATAATTAAAGAATTCCGAAGAGTAATCAGTCACGTTATTAACTCGTAAAGATTAAGGGCCAGTCTTTTCAAATCTGAGTAAATTTGAAAGTAACTACTTGCAGATTAAACTATAGGGCTATTAATTGTTAATATGTCAAGTAAACCTACATGTAACTTAACTCACAGGTGTAAATATCGACCTTAAGTAATATTTTTGTTTAATAAAAAGGCCTGAAAAGATTTAACGCGAAAAGTTATAATTAACTAGATTAAACAAATAAAATCCTACATATTTTATGAGTTACTTGCTTCTATCCTGCACAGAAAAGAGATGATGCTGTTTGTGAGCTACATTGTTTAAAAGATATTTCCAAATGAGGCTCTTTTTACTGATGGTACTGTTATGACGGGCATACACGCTACGGTCTACCGGAGAGGTCTGCCAGTGCAGGTGTGCCTGCACAGGTAGACCGGAGCGTGTAATGTAATAGACCGGAGCAAAATCGAAAATCAATTCTTTTTATTGACACCATAGGGTGAATCTCTGGGATATGTATGTATCTTCCGGTCGCTTGCGCAGATCACACTAGTTGTTTTCTAGTTTCATTCTAGTCTAGGTAATATGTAATTATACTTTATATTTATTTATATTATATACATTATATTTATAAGGATTTTTTTTATAAAATCGATTTATATGGATTTTTTTAAAATTTCAGTTCATTTATTAAATTTGTTTTAAAATCAGTTCATCATTTGGCAACATTGGCGTTCCTGTTCATTGTTTACATTTTAATTTTTATCAATTACAATTCAAGTTTTTAGTTACTTTTTAGCTTTAAATTTGTTTATATCTTATAGTACGTGATAGTGTTTATATTTAAAATGAAATCTGCGAAAAAGTCCCCAGCAAATTGCAATCTATATGGTGTTAATGTCAAAATCAAAACTGAAGTATTTATTATTTTCCAACTGCAAGTCGTAAAATTTTGTTTCTTATGATAAATGGATATCTACAAATTCACAATATTGAAATTTTGCAAAACTTTGTTTAGAATCAAACTGTAATCTGATTTGTGACGGTTTTATTACCATTTACATGTATACAAAGTAATACATAATTCACTTCATAATATAAGAATAAATCTAGTAAGATTTTTAAATAAGTTCATCAATAATAAACGTCCGGTACCTGAAATGTCCTTTAAACCACATAATAAAACATGTCCTGACTTAACTTTCCAGCTAATTAACACGCCTACATTTAATTATACTATTTGTATGTTTTTTGTTTCAATAAATTAATTTTCTTGTCATGCTTTTGAATTTTTTGTGTTTTAATAAAATATTTAAACTTGTATTAGTATTGATTCATACTACTAATTTTTTGCTTTATTGTAACAAATATAATTTTATTGCTACAATAAACGTAAAAAAGGAGTTAGTATGAACAATTCTTAATTTGACTACCACTTTAACTAAATATTGAATGACAATTTTGAATGTTCCCGCGTTTTGTATTAACTAAAGTGACCGCGAGATGGCGCAACTTCCGTCCAAATAGTTCACAGAACGGTCACCCGGCGCTACAATTTCGAATTTTAACATTGCCGTTTTCATTCTAAAAGTAAGTGATCTGTGGTATTCGCCTCGTTCGTACGCATGATAAAAATGACGTCACGGATTCAATCAGGAAAGTACTTGAAAATTGTATTGTGTTGTGCATTGTGCATCCTCGTCCTTATTCGAGGCCGTAGCGAAACAAATTGAAGATCTCTCCGGTCTCTAGCATACCGGATCGACTTCGGATTCTGACATCGACGTGTCAACGTCG